TGATCTAACCGATTTCAAATGTGCTAGGTATGGTGCTTGTCCTTGCGCAGATTTGCTTAATTCAGTTGACCCAATTGTGAAAATGATTGCTTAGGAAATCCTGCCTGAACAGTCACCTTGTTGTTTCGTAATGGCGGATTTCATACGAACAGTAAGTTGGGCGGGTAAAATCGATCAAAGTGTGGCTAAATTCACGGCTCACGGTGAGCCTCATAGCTCGGTGGTAGAGCGTTGGCTGTGCAAAAGCCCTCCCTGTTGTGTGGGTCCGACTCCCACCGAGGTCGTGAATTTTTCACAATTGGGTCAACTAAATATAACCTTTGTTAGTGTCGACACCCTTCATTCTTTCTGGCCTGATTAAGTAGCGTGGGAGGCAGTTACTGGGCTGCGGGACTTGGTATCCAAATAACATCATTATAGCGAAACAGCAAAATGTTGTTTTATTTTTGCACAAGCAGCTCTGATTCTTCTTCACTTTTATGCTGACTTCTTGGTGTGCGACTCATGAGGAAGTTTTAATAAACTACCTGGGTACCCGATCTGGAGCTATGCCACTCCTCCCAGCCTTGGCCACTTTGCTTTTCTGAAATATGCACATGCCTGCTTGTGCTTGTGTTTACGGCCCTATTCACCGGCAGTGTTTCGCAAACACGACAGGGGGAGTGTGCGGATTGGACGTGGCTTATGCAGCGGCTGCCGCCTTGCTGCAGCTGCTGCCACTGTTGTTGTTTTTGTTTTCACTGTCGTGGCGCTGTTCTTGAACCTCGCGCGCACGCGTGTCTGCGCGTGTGCAGGCGCTCATCAACTAGGTTTTGTGTTTTGCCAGAGTCTGCCGGTTCTTCCATGTTTCCTCGTCGATAGGAATGCAGCATAATAATTTGGAGGTTCATTGATGAAGGTTCACTCGACCGCTAACGGAACTCATCTGTCCCGCTCTGCCTGGGGCCTCGACAGAGGCCCTGACAGCCGTAGCAGCTGATAGTCTAGGTAGATAGTATTACCGGCAAAGACAAGGGAGACTAGGATGGCCATTTCTGGCTAATTAGCCGTCATCAGCCAGTCATACCCAGACACAAGTGGCGTCCCACCCGAGCATCGCCAGGTCGTTACAGGTCGTCCTCACCCTCCTTACCGTATTCCTCTTACCTAAAAGCGACCCTTATCTGTGACTATTTCCGATGATGGGTTGGAGTGAGAATCCGAAAGATCAGGCCAATAAAATTACTGTTTAAGCAATTGCATCTTTTCCATCTGAACTGCTTCCTGGAACTCACCTCTTGCCTCTTCTGGAAAATCCATCCGTGTTAGACCGGTAAAGCGAGGAAGTGAGAGATAGAGAGGAGGCTGACTGCTTCAGGTTTATGCATACGTCCTTCAACCGGCAATTTCTCTGACCACTTTTATAGTCCAGCACAATTTGCTGTTCATGCACGCGTATTTCATGTGTTAGAGAGTAGGGGCCGGTGTCAAACCTGCTTCGTCGGCATCGTAATGACCAGGTTTTCTCAGCATCTCTCTCTACGCATCCAGTCTTCCCCGTCGTAGTCGGTTTATTTCCGATATTGTTTAATTTGACCGGTTTTCCCGCCCACCAGAGGGGGAATGTAGTTTGCCTTGATGTCTTGTACGGCCACTTCAGTATAGATGACAGTCTACTCCCCTTCTAAGGACTTTTTTTGGTAATCCCGAATACTGGTTGGTTGAAAGGCGGGACGTCGACCACCGTGCTCTAGCACATGGACGGCAGCGACTGATTTTGAAGATTTCATAAAGAAACCTTCTCAAGGTGACACCCCGGGCAACTGAAACTTTGCGGTTCGTGGTATCATTTATAGCGCCTCATCGTGTCATATAGGGCTTCATCTGATCAATTTAGTTTACCCCTTTGCAGAGTAATTTGCTGCAAAGTATTAGCTTTGTTCCGTTTTTCCTCAGCCTTAGAAGTGTGAAGTCACAGCAACAGAACTTCCACCAGGCCTAATCAGATAACATCCGATATTGGGAAACTGATAGGACGAACAACTTGCTTTGATGAAGGCTCTAGTTTGACATCCTTCTTACCAATTGTGGTGAGCGGGGTTGAAAGGAGGACTGCAAATTTTCCAACAGCATCGAAAACTCAAATAGTTATTTTTCTCCGCGTCCGTCCCACGATCAACTCTTTACCTTATACCTATACTGTTATTTAAGGGCCAGATTGTAACTTTGCAGTCACCTGTAGCAAAGTGACGAAACCGTCACTTTTGATAGCCCACGTTTGTATCCTTCCTTTCACAGGCCTCCGTGTATTCTATCAGTTGATATCTGTGGGGTTTTAAGGCAGACTTAGGCCATGAATTTAGAAGTCATTAGCTGTAAGCTCGGACTGCTTTAGTTACGTGCTAACGACAATTTTGTCTCAATATTTTGGATCAAAATATGTTTATTACCCATATTAGCTACAATTAAAGTGATTTAGCCCATTCCAGTGTCCACAATTCGTCCTGGGGTCTAAAGCTGAAGCCCACCACTTGTGCTTTTTGTTTGCTTGTCATTCCGTTCTCAAAAAGGAAAGAACTGTCGAGCCTACTATCCGTTCCGAGTCTGAATGCCACATCCACATAAAGGACCATCTGAAGCGACTGATCTTCATTTGTATTCCAACTGACGGGCCTTTCTGATTGATATTGCCAGTTAGTTTGGTGAGCGATAGTCTGACAGCTAAAGTTGTAACATTTGCATTCGTCATAGGCCGTTTTTCAGAATTATAGAGCAGACTAGTTTTGACTCCAGTCTCATGCACTCAATACTTTGCCCTTAATTTAGTTTCGTGGCATCCTAAATACCAATACCACTTCATGCCACGTCCAGCTACTGCTTATGGGACTTTTTCTACTCTCCCGTACACGTTTTCTCAACATTGCTTTTATTCCCAGAGTTATGGGACTGTCGTGCGTTTCTAAAATTATATTTCAACACTTATCTTAATCAAAGGCTTCTAGTATTGTCTTTATAATGTTTTGACAGGTCACACCTACACTTCTACAAGTGATTTTTATCCATATTATGTATAACCGTACCTTTTCGGCTTGATAAATTTAGCTTCAGAGTCCTCTTTTTCGCACTCTTAAAACCTATTTATTTCCACTAGCTTCGAAGTTCTCTTGTCTGGAAAACTGCTTATGCTTGCCCTTGCTGACATTTGCCCTCAATGATTTTCAGTTTGCCCCTCGGCCGTAGCCACAACTTACGCGTTTGGATCGTCCTAACTCATACAGTCCCATCCCCATTGTCATCGCATGAATTCTCTCAACCGGGACGCGAAGGACTCGTCAACCACCGGTTACTCAGTCTGTCCCTCATCTGCCCCCGAAAGCATGCCCATATCCTCAGAACGAATGGCCATTGGAGGCGCTCGCTTCCAGTATCTCGACGAATGCGCCCCCCTGGCACCCATAGAACTTCCAGGCGTCGCCGTCGCTGCTCCGACCACCTCGGCTAACCTCACGGAACTGGAGTCTGCGGCGGGTCTAGTCTATGTGCAACACGCCACACCAGTGTCC